AGGTGGTGGATAATGTGCTGGAAAGTTGTCACGCCTTCAATGGTTGTTGTAAGTAAAAGCTTTTGGCTTAATATTCAAATAGCGACCAAAACTGTTAAGTGCACAAGTTTACCAGTCATCAACAAGTGCAATAAAATGTGAGACTATAGTCCACTTTCTCTTAACGGGCACCTCTATAAGACGAACACCTCAGTAAGACGGACACCTGGTATTGGTCCCTGCCGTTTTTCAGTCATATTACTGTAACTGAATCACAGGTGTCACATTTCTTCGACTCTCTATAAACCGGACGGACACCTCTCTAAGATGGACAGTCAGGATCGGTCCCGAAGGTGTCCGTAACTTTACTGTCATTTGCGGAAAAATTATCAAAGAAGTTCCAAGGAAAATACGGAACATTAACAGAATCTTGAAAAATACATGTATGCGACCAATGCCAGGCGTGGTAAAGCATACAACAAATGCTTCTTGATGAAGAGAACTCTCTGTGTGATTTTCAGTTTAATTGCAAAGTCATGATATAAAAATTGCTTTGATTACAGGGAATATTCTTGTTTAGCATCATCAAGTACAAGTCCGTAGCCTACGAGGGCAGAATATATCCCAGTTGGGCTGAGGGCCTGGGCTGGAGTATCGCCTGTTGTTCCATGCTTTGTATTCCCTTTACTGCCGTCCGTGTTTTAATGAGAGCGGAGGGCTCGTTTTTTGAGGTAAGCGTTAAGACCGTTTGCATTTTTTAGATTTGACTTTTAAAAGTAACTCTCCCGAAGTCGGGTTTTGCTCACAATAACATTTACGGTGAAACAATGAATATGTGAAAATCATATTTGAATTGAGGAGTGAAAATTTACATGCAAAGAAGGTTAAAGAACATAAATGAATTTCATATATTCATTCATTCACCTTGATTATTTGATGGGTTACAACAAACCATCTAAATGACCCGCTGCTAGTTGGCTTGTTAGCTCAATTGGTAGAGTGCTGCCATGGTATCGCAGAGGCAGTTGTCCCTTTCGTAAACGGTCACTGCTAATTTTTGAACTGTTATTGAGTGTTTCTATTGAAAAGAAAGAAAATCGCAACAACCCGGACCTTCCGTACCCTAATCTCTCTCCCTTACCACTACACTACCACACCGACCCGCCAAAATTCCGAAAAACTTAAGTACATACACTAGCAAACTGTCTTTCTTACCTGATACATCAATAACAGGTGAACCAAGCCCTTTCCATAACTTTTGATGTTTACTACATTAAACTTACGCTTCAATGAAGTTCTTTCTAAGACTATTCAAAAGCGTATATTTGCCATATTGTAACTTAATCCAGGGTGTATATTACATCCATCACGACTAAAGGCTTGGTTACCAATGGTGGAATAGACCGTTAAAAATGGCAACGACCGTTTACGAAAAGAAAAGGCATCACAGAGGTCTGTGTTCGCATCCTGTGAATTTTGTTCAGGCATTCTTTGGGCAACTGCTAAAGTTGCTTCTTAAATTGCGATGATCTTCGTTATATGTACATGTGATACTTTTTGCATTGTAACTGTTCAGCTGACTTCCAATAATAACGCAAAAGTGTCACGATAGCATGGCTCATTAGATTTGTTTTTTAAACTCTTTATGAATAACAGAGTTGGCCTTTCAAAGTTACTCGCGCCTCCTATGTAATGCTGGGACCCGAAATGCGTTGGAGAGACGTTTTTTACCGCAGACATTCTACACTCCCTCTCCATTTTGCTAGACAAAGCAAACCACACATAGCGAAAAAAGAAAAAAATGAGTGTGTGTAATGTTTGAATGTTACACACATATATTGGAGTAGACCGTAAAATTCCGAAAATAAGCCCCGGGGCTTATATTTTTCAAAGGCCCTTTTTGAGGGGCTTATTTTTGGAGGGGCTAATATTCGGAGGGGCTTATCTAAGGAGAGAAAGTGGCGTTTCAAAATCGATTGGGCTAGCCTTATAGTTGGAATGAAATTTACCATTTTTGCTTTGTTTTACTTTGTATTTGAGGGAAATTTTCAAGTACAAGCCCCCCGGGGGGCTTATATTTGGAGGGGCGATTTAACGGAGGGTTGTTTGCGTTACGAGTTTGGGGGGCTTATATTTGGAGGGGCTTATACATGGAGGGGCTTATTTTCGGAATTTTACGGTATCTTAACTTGGTTGCCCTGTATTCGATTGTTAAGCCAAAACCCTGGACTTGTTTCAACTCACTCCTCTTTCTTCCCTGCGATGAACGGGGCTGTTTTGAGGCTGTAGTATATTAGAAGGTCTTGAGCTTTACACGTGGCCATCACGCGAGAAATTCGTTAAGCGTGTGAGTATCGTGGAACAGAGACGCAAATTAGCGTGACACCCAACCCGCGACAGAAGCCGGCGGTTCGAAGCGCTCTGTTGTTCAAAAACTCAGACCTACTTGGGGCAAGTTCATAAAAAAATATGTTACCAGTAAAGTTAAATTGGTTTCCCGATATATCAACTAAGTTATATTCTTGCGAATTTTACGTTTACAGCGACTACGATATACTTCCTCTGAGGAATGCAAAGAAAACAAAACGAGTTTCAGCAAATCTTACCACACAGACAATGAATAAAAAGCCAAATAAAAAACATTGCGTCTTGTTGATAATGTCGTTTCCTTTAATTTTTAAGAGAGATAAAAACTTAATTTATTCTCTAAGCTTTAAGCATAATTAAACATTAAATTCTTTATCAAGACTATATATATATCTAGACATTGAGAAAATGGAAGGGTGAGAGTGCTACAAGATTTTTGCCGAATTCGCGCTGATAATATCAATAATAATTTACATTTATATAGCGCAAACCTCTATATGGATATACACTGTATTCAGTTGCGCCAATAATAAACTCGAGTTGTCCTTAAAACTTTACAAACTGCTAAGTGATCGTCTAAAAAGGACCACCTTAAGACCGGCCAGTATTTAATCACTGTGATTCCCCGCTCCCGCCCCTCCACATTTGTACTTGCACGTTTTGAGTGCACACCCACATATCTCAAACCTTGACACCACAGATCGGTTTCTGATCGGCTTTTTTTCTTTCAAAATCTGGTGTCCAGCCCAGGCATAAGGAAAAAATCTTCTTACACAAGCTAAAAAAGCTTTAAAAATGAGATGATAGGCAAACAAAGTAACAATTTTTTAGTCATGAATAAGATATTTGATAATAAACACATTATCATTCCATATGCGTGAGTGCCACGGCTCACTGAAAGCACAACCTTTCTGCAAGTACAGAGTGTTTTCACTCACATGGCCACCATCTATGCAAATTTAATGGAACAACAAAAAAGGAGTTTACCTAAGAAAAGAGTTCAACTCCCTCAGGATTAGTTTGGAACACCAACATGGCCGCCAATTCATTGTTTTGGAACACCAATATGGCCGCCATGACGTCATGTGAAAACACTCTATTCTATTTTAATTAAAAAAAACACTTTTCTCCAGTATTGATTTTCACTTGAATGATTATTAGAAGCGTTCTGAACTGCCAGCCACGCATGTACTTCAACTTTCTTTAATACCTACTTCAAAAGTCAATGAAGCCACTGTTTGTGTGTACATTGACGGCACTTCCCTTGCTGTTTTTTTATCCTCTTCAGTTCTAAACGTACTTTCTTGTGGACAATTTGCATTTGAGTTTCTTAGGAATTTGGAATTACAATTTGAAATTTACCTGTAAGATCAAAGGGAAAAGTAGGAGTCACTTAAAGTGCTTTCTCAAAAGTCTGAACTGAACTATCCTGCAATCACGTGGTTGCTCTTCCCTTTTTGTTTGGAAAGTGAGGGCAAAACCTTGGACGCCTCTTTTTTCCCCTGTCCTTGTCCACCCACTTTCACGCTGGTCAGACCAGTTGTTTTGAAAATGAAATATTAGAGCTTCCTCAAAATCTTTACTGAAACCCATCACTACCGTGCACACCATTTAAGAATAGTAAACTGATCTGGCTACATAGTCCTTATTAGTAATGGTAACAGGACTGAGTGGAGTCCAACTCGGTCTGTAATCATATGAGTGATTAACAAAATCGAACGACCATGTAGCAGGAGTCCGATTTGTTTAATCACGAGTATGACTACAGACCGAGTTGGACGACACAAAGTTCTGTTACCAATTAATCATAACTTTAACAAAATTTGTGATATGATAGGCTATTTTTTAAATCAAACACAAGAAATTCGAAATTTTGTTTTGCTAGCAGTGAAAAAAAAAAGCCATTTAAGTGCGCACGTGATGGCGTGTACTGTCCAATTACTTAGGCATGACGCGTACTGTCCTATTAAACTGTCCAATTAAGGCTGAAATCAGGGAAGTTGATAGCCAATCAGATTTGACAATTTTGTTATAGTTATGATTAAAAGTGGAATTCCCCTTACGATTAATTGGACTGGTCAGTCTCTTACAAATGGTGTGTGCCCTTTATAGGTTACTGTTTACAAAAAAGAAGTATGTTGCAGATATAGAGTAAGCGCAGCTACATCTATTGCTTGAACAGGATCATAATGTACTGGAAGAGAGACTGTGTGAAAAGAGTTGGAGCAGTGTCAAACTTTGCCGTGGGATCGGTCCCCTTTTCTCTTTTGCTGTGCATTTGCTAAACATCATTTGGTGAGAAAAGTTTTTGGATTACTTTCAGGATCATAGGATTAGACGGAATGAAGTGCAAGTGGTTAGGGGAAAAGATTTTCATTGGAATTTTTGGCTCAACTTTTCATATTTTTTTGTATTCTCCTCCATGATTCCTGTTTAACTCAATCATGATCATTCGGGAAAGGTTTCAAAGATCCTGACTCCCCCTGCATCAGTTAGACATCAAAGTTGTTGGTGACCAGGCTTATGCATGCATGCTACTATAATAATACTGTCTCCTTCTTCTCCTACTGTAGGTCTTTATGAATTAGAATTCAAAGCATGAAGCTCTGAAAATTCAAAATTCAACTAAATATGTAGATTAACATGTAGCAGTCATACATACATTTAGGCATAGAGAGCACGTCAGCACTGACTGAGCAAGTAAGGCCAAAGTTTGATAGTGCGCCTCGAATAAGACCACATGGGAAAGCCAAGAACTGAAACAGAACAGACACACTTGGTTCTTTTTCTCTTCTTTGAGAATCATGACACATGGAATACTCTTGTTTTTCACGAGTAGATGAGTCTATTTTAAGAATCTTCAGCAACATACACGAAGAAAAGTTCTAGACATTAAATTAAGCTACTCAGCACTGAGAGAAAAGCTTTCACGCACATATGCCAATAACACTGTCCCAGACAAAATATGCTCATAAATTTCTTTTCAACATGAAGAAATAGTTGTTCAGTTTTTTTTCGAAGTTGAACCATTGCAGGAACTTTGAAGTCAGTGCAATTTGCAATCTTTATAATTTGTCTTTAGGATTTTTTTTCTCTTTTAATCACACTACCGGTATATAAATTAAAAATTTAAGAAGGGTAAAATATCCACAAACCTTACGAGCCTCCTCAGTGTACTGTTTCCCATCTGACATTTGAGTTAACAACTGGAAGTTATTATCCTGAAGTACATATGTACCCTTCACAAAAAGACAAGAGAAGTTAAAACAAAATCTTCGCCGTTCAATCCAGTCTAAGTTTCAATGGCTGTTAAGACTGGTTATCAAACAAGATGAAAGAGTGTATAAAGGGTAAAGCATCATTCGCAGGTAGAGCCTTTTTTTCTACTAGGACTCAATCTATTCAGTTGAGAGACTGAAAAAAGATGAGACATATAATATCATTTCTTGATAATGTAGATTGTTCACGAGATTTGACAACCATCCAACTAGAACATAATCAACTCATTACAAGTAAAAGGCTAAAATTATGCACTGCTTATGCCTAAAAAAAATGGCCAGACAATTTGGAATTTAATAATTTCCTTAAATGGGACATGATGATCCTGTTTAATGATGCAAAATGAAACCTAGAAAAAAGGCTAAGGGCAAGACAGTAAAATTTGGTGGCCACCCCCAAGTCTGCAGGGCTGTATACCTGGGGGAAGGGGGGAGGGGGAACTCCCATATAAAAGTGACAGGGATGTGGGTGTGGCTCAAGCTTAAACTGATCCCTAGGGGAGATTTCTGTGTGGTCAGTGAAAGGGCAATTGAATAGAGCTTCACTAATCCTTTGGGCTCTTCAACCACATGACATTTAAACCAATGGCAAATAAGTTTTATATACCTTTTTCACTGATATGTTTTGCTATTGCAATGTAGAACAGGTGGCAATACTCAAGGGGGCCTTTTATTCAGACCAAAATTCTGGAAATTTTGGTTAGAAATCAAATGGAATGGACCATTCCGGTTCGGTTCGACCAAAATAAAAGTGACGGGGATTGAGATCACCTTTCAAAGTGATCCACTTTGACCAGTCTGGTCATTTCAGTCAGTCGAAGCGAAATGTCTGTAATTCCATTTGACAAAATTGTTGTCCCAAGTACCACTCTTTTGTATCCTGGAAACAAGTACAATAACCCAATGCGCAGTACCTTGGCTCGGGTCTGTGGAACCAGAATATACTGTTCCATTGGGTACATGGAATTTCCGAAATTTCAAACCCCAATTTTTTGTTAATGGAAAGCACCATTTCTTTCCAACAAGACAAAGGATCCAATGTCTTGAGAATTTCACCTTAGCTGCAATGAAGCAACAAAACAAACAAGTGATATGGTCTATTAATCAGATACATACCTGATGGTTGGTTCTTAAATTATCAATTTGCTTTTTATAAACCGCTGTCCAGAAATCTTTACAGATGTATTTCATGATCTCTAACTCGTCTTTAAAGCGGGGAGAATCTTTAGTAAACCTAACGAGAAAATGTACATATGTATCCTGTTAAAAGTGGTCTTATGAAATAAGCGGACGACTGCTTCCAAAGCTGAGTTAAATATGTTAGATGTCACTTTACCATACGTCTAACAGCAAACTTAAACAACAAGTGGTCGTTCCTCTCTCTTACCTTTCAACTAGTCTTTGTCCAACGCTGAAACCAAGTCTCTCAAGGTTTTGAATAACATCATTCTACAAGAACAAGCCACACTCACTAAAGCTCAATCTAATGACAATATGAGTTTTCATACCTTTGCAAAGCAAATTTCTCGAATACACATATGATTAACGTATATTTTTTATAAGGAGCTATTCAAGGACCAATTTTGAAGCTGTAAATACACTTACGTCGATATTTTTTCCCGGTTTATTGAGGAAATAAGCTACGATTTCCATGTGAATAAAATCGAATAGTGATTCAACATCCGCCATTTTGGAGAACCTCAAAAAAAGTCGGGGGTTGGGCCCTAGTCTTCTCCAGTCTGCGCTCCATGCTTGATTAAGATGGCGTCTCCGTTGCCCAAAAGGAAACGTTTCTCACAAACAAGCGATAATATTAGAAGATCCACTGCAGATAAATTGAAACTATTTGAATCAATACGCGGTAAAGAGGTTGCCAACACTCCGTTTTGGGACATAATTGTCATCACTGCTTTGGACGAAAGCCAGAGAGATGCTTATGACATTCAACTGCAATCCAAACTTTCCAGAGGTGAATTACCTTTAGGTGTAAAGTATCACGTGTTTTATGATCCACCTGGGCCTAAGATAGGTAATGGCGGCTCTGTACTTGTCACGATTGGTGATTTGTTAAAGATTTATAACGAAGAGGAGTTGATGAAGTACAAGATTTTAATGCTTCCGGCTGGAGGATACAGCCAAAGATTGCCAAACGCTAGCGTTCTTGGGAAGGCATTCACTGCTCTTCCAACTGGTACGTATGTTAACCCTTTGGGACCAGCCGGCCCTAAGTGTCTGTCGTAAGACCGATTTAGACGATACGATTTTTGCTTATAATGATAATGATGATAAGCATGAGTCCGGGAGGAGGGTTGGGGTGGGGGGGATTGCTCCCCTATAAAAGTGATGGGGGTGCTTGTCGTACCCTTAGGGGTTTAAATTTCTGGATTGGTATGGCTTAGGGTACTAAAACCTAAAATGACTGCTGCCATAGTTGATAAGCTTTATTAGCATTTCAAGGACTTTCAAAAAGTCCTTAAGAAAAAAGTGTTCAAAAATTACCTTTATTACTATTAAAATTTGCAGTGCCAGTTAAATAATTTGTTGTTGTTGTATTGGTACCTCTTAGGGGTGGAAATGAATTTGGGACACACCCATAAAACAAGATTCTGGTATCTTTTAGGGGTGTTCTCAAAATTTTCCGACGATCACCCCTTTCACTTTTAAACGGGAGTGTCCCCCGGGGCATACGTCATGACTTTATGACAGATTGTGTCTTGTAAATTAGACCCATGACATTCATACAACACATTGTGGATGTCGTAAGTGAAAATTGTGTACATGTGGATAGTCGAAGTCATGACATATACTAGTTGCGCACAATAGTCGTAAGCTAAAATCTTACCATTTAAATTGGCCTTTAGAGAGATTTCCATCCTATAGAGAGTCGAATAAAAGGAGTAAAGAAAGACAGGGACCAACTCTAGGTGTCTGGGCTAGATTGCAGAATACCTGACCCACTAAATATCTAACTTAAAAAACTGCTGCCACAGTCACCTGATTTGCATGATAAATTCTGACTTTAACTGGGGGAGTGTGGGAGAACTAGTATGCCTCATTCTGTAAGCACACAAGTTACTTGACATTGACTGTGGGAGTGCAGGAGTGCGGGATCACTAGTTGTAAACCCACTCAATATTCACTTTTCGGCGACTGCAGGAGCACTTGTTTTAGTCACTTAGATTTAAGTGCTCATCAACTACTGGACTGTGGGACTGTGGGCCCAGCATGATAGAACACAAGTGCAGGACTGTAGGAGTATATGCTGAAGACATGTTAAGACATGATAAATAACATGCAATTTTGCAATAATAACTTAACATTACAATATAATAACTTACAATATAATCGTGAGCTTGGAAATCTACTGTACATGCGATCATATACAAGGATATAAAGAGAAAGACTAAGTATACTTAAATTATGCTTTTTTGGACAAGTAGGAGCAAATCCTTAGAACAAGGTTGCTTGCTCAATTGTTGAATGAGTATATCAAATTCAAAGATTAAAATTGATTATCCCAATGAGATCAAATCAAACAAGATATAGTCCTCTTGAGCATAAAGCAGTTCATGGGGATATAAAAATTCCATCACAGCATTGCCTATATGTACCCAGTTGTTTCAAAGGTTACAGCCACACACATTCCTTCATGCTCATAAATTTCAAAGTGAAGTACATAGAATGCAATTTTGTTTTCTCAGGTGATCCTCCATATCAAGTGATTGAACTTCAGATAGCTATGTTTATGGATCTTCCATCACGGATGAACCCTGGTCTCTTTGTGGTTGCTTCAGATTGTATTGAGCTGTTTAATAGTGAGGGAGATTGGTCTCTTACAAAGCCAGGCTTCACAGCATTAGCTCATCCTTCTCCTGTTATCATTGGTACAACTCATGGTGTATTTGTGCTTGCTGATCATGAGGTGAAAACTCATATTGCATTTACTATGTCTTGAAGAAGCACTATTTGTGGTGTATATGAAACAGCAAATTTTTAGTGATATTGGTGCTAATTTGGGTCTGTGAAACTTTTTCAGGGATGGGAGTTAATGTACAGTGTAGCTAATTTTATGTGGAAAGAAACTATTCTGTTTTAAAATAAAAAAATGATAAGCCATTTCTACATTGCAATAAGCCTGTATTTCAAAGCAAGGTTAAGTACAAAGGTGATTTTTTATTCTCGTAAAAAATANAAGAGAAAGACTAAGTATACTTAAATAATGCTTTTTTGGACAAGTAGGAGCAAATCCTTAGAACAAGGTTGCTTGCTCAATTGTTGAATGAGTATATCAAAGTCAAAGATTAAAATTGATTATCCCAATGAGATCAAATCAAACAAGATATAGTCCTCTTGAGCATAAAGCAGTTCATGGGGATATAAAAATTCCATCACAGCATTGCCTATATGTACCCAGTTGTTTCAAAGGTTACAGCCACACACATTCCTTCATGCTCATAAATTTCAAAGTGAAGTACATAGAATGCAATTTTGTTTTCTCAGGTGATCCTCCATATCAAGTGATTGAACTTCAGATAGCTATGTTTATGGATCTTCCATCACGGATGAACCCTGGTCTCTTTGTGGTTGCTTCAGATTGTATTGAGCTGTTTAATAGTGAGGGAGATTGGTCTCTTACAAAGCCAGGCTTCACAGCATTAGCTCATCCTTCTCCTGTTATCATTGGTACAACTCATGGTGTATTTGTGCTTGCTGATCATGAGGTGAAAACTCATATTGCATTTACTTGAAGAAGCACTATTTGTGGTGTTAATGATATGAAACAGCAAATTTTTAGTGATATTGGTGCTAATTTGGGTCTGTGAAACTTTTTCAGGGATGGGAGTTAATGTACAGTGTAGCTAATTTTATGTGGAAAGAAACTATTCTGTTTTAAAACAAAAAAATGATAAGCCATTTCTACGTTGCAACAAGCCTGTATTGCAAAGCAAGGTTAAGTGCAAAGGTGATTTTTTATTCTCATAAAAAATAAATTCATTTTCACAAAAGAAGAGTTGCACTTAGCCTTGTTTTGAAAGTGAGAATTTTTGGAACTCGGAATTAATGGCCTATTTATTACAGCACAAGTAAGGAGTGAGGCAGGGGGGCAAGAGTGGCAAGTCCCAGACTACTTGGACAGTGGTGGGGCCTAATTATCTTGCATTGTGTTCACACACGGGAATTGTTATTGAGCTGGTTTTTGTCTCTTGGTTCTTTTCAAATAGTGTTTTTCTTTGGGCTCCCAGGTCCAATTCAGCCAGAGATTTGACCTGGGGGGTGGGGGAGGGGGCGGTTACTCAACAAAGTTTTGCACCACTGTTAGGTAGAGCTTCCCTGTAGTGGCCATTATAGCTAGTACCTCCTCCACCTGTGGGGGATTCAAAGGTCATGGGTTTGCCAGTCTACAAAGACTTGAGTGCCAGTCTCATAATAATAATAAAGTTGTTTGATTTGTTAGAAAAACATTTTCTACAGTTAAATATTTAACTCTTTATTTCTTAAGAGTGATATTTAGTATGAAATTTCTCCTTTAAATGTCAATGCTTTATAAAATAGAGTGGTCATGAGAATTGTGGACATGATCACAGAGGATAAATCTTACTCTATAAACAAATTCCCCCCAACTACTTCTATTAAAAATGCACAGGGACAACAAAAATAATGAGAATTAAAATTTTGATATCAGGGTTTAAAGGGTTGACCAGTGATGTACAAGCAAACTCCTACATTCACCACTGCCAACAGGAGGGGTGGTGACGATTGAGGCTTAGTTTTACTCAACTCCTGATGAATGTCTCATTTCTTATCTATACTGGCTACTCATGTCTGTCTCTTTGGTGTCAAAAATCTGTCCGTTGTTGTGTGTACATAGCCTAAAACCTTGTACCTTGTTTTATTGCATCAGATTGAACCTCCTGTTGCTGAAACATCATGTAGGAAATTCCTCCACAAGCCATCAATAGATATTATGAGAAACCATGGCATCATATTTACTCGTGATGGCGAGGAACATGTTTACACTGACAGTACATATTTTGTCGACTGGAACACAGCCAAGAGACTCTATGATTTTGCTGATGAAATTAAACCAATTGATTGTGAAATTGATGCCTACGGTGATTTTCTTCAAGCACTTGGGCCGGAGGCATCGGCTGATTACACTAAAAATGTTGCTAATGTGACAAAAGAGACATCATCATTGGTTGAAAAGAGGAAAAAGATTTTTGAGTTCTTGAAAGGAACACCTCTTAATCTACTGCTACTTAACGAATCCAAGTTCTACCATATTGGTACTACCAAAGAATACATCCAACATTTTTGTAAAGATCCTGTTTTCAGGTGAGATATAACATTAAAATGGCTGGCATAATGAAAAACAGGCTCCCTTTGTCTTGCTACAGCCCTGATGTCATATCAACATGGCATGACTTGGCAATGCATTAATTTATTTGTCATACATGTTAATTTCAATAGCAAGGTCCTTTGATTGTTGTTTTTTAAATTACTATTCATTTCAGGCATGAAAGCCATTTTCTGCCAGAAGTCATGGTCAAACGAACAGGAATCAGTGAAGAGAAAATCACCGATCAGAGTTGTCTGATCCTCTGTAACCTAACACTGCCATCCACTGTGGGACAGCACACAGTGCTAGAGTACTGCGAAGTCAACTCTGGATCGTCTGTTGGCAGCAACTGTATTATCAGCAATGTGCTGATTCCTGCCGGGGCACACATTCCTGATGACACTTTCATGACAACGGTCTGTGTTTCAGTTGGTGATGTGACAGGGCTGTATGTGACAGTTGTGTTTGGTGTTGGAGACAATGTGAAGAAGATGGCAAGACCAAATGATCTTGGGAAACTGCAGTATTTTGGCTTGCCACTTGACAAGGCAATGGCACTGTTGGATATAAAACAGGTGTGGATTTAAGTTTATAAATATGAGAGTTTTTATTAACTTGTCCATTTTTTACCCCTTTAATTCTAATGTTGATGCACCATTCTCTTCACTGTTCTCCATGTTTTGCATACAATGTTTATGTTACAAGTTAAATTTAATTTCAGGTTAAATATTTTTAACCCAAGTCAATTCTCAATTTCATTTGCCTCTTAGAGCTAGGAGACAAAGGAGTTTGAGAATCAACTTAGGTTAAATCAAATTTGACCTGTAACATACATACAAACTTTTAGTCACCCCCATCATCTTTTCATTTCAACTAATTATAATTTTTCTGTTTGTGATTGGCTTAAATACCCTGGCTAATTCTTCATAACCCACTTGCTAGCCAGTGTAGCTGGTGAAATTTTTCCTTGCAAGTGTGGTGGCAAAGGCTTATAAGTGAGTGCTGAAGGTGTGAGGATTTCAAAGTGTCTCTTCCCCATTCTCTGTGTGGAAGAACATTTCTCCCTCAAGTCGCACTGACGTAACGATTCAGCCAGCTACAGGCTCTAGGTACAAGATAATTTGGAAGGAGATTCTAGCATTTTCTTCGAAGTCACAGAGGGCTTTACTCCAAGCACCCCTTCAATTACCAGTATTGAATTTGGCTTTCATTTTATATGAATAATGTTATGCAGATCTGGGAGGGTGTTAACAGGCTTGATCTGGCCATATATTATATTTTTCTTAAAAGAGCACCAGGAGAAACTGCCGATATTTAATTAACGCGACAGGTGTTTAATCAAGAAAATACGGTAAATTATTTGTTATTGGTACTTAACCTATACAAAAGCTGATCAAGAGGGTTTGACTTTTGGCAATCATTTTCTTCATCTGACTGCCCATAGTTTTTAACTGAGTAGTTAAGTCATAGTGAGGCATGTTGGGAGAAAACAAGTAGGTACAGTCTGAATATTGCAACACTGAACATTTACTATGTGACTTAATTTCTACAGGAATCAGAGCAAGAGTTTGTGAGCTTGTGGCAGATGAAACTATTCCCAGCATTTTACACCTGTGAAGACTCCGTTTCCCATGCAATAAACATGATAAATTCCTTAAAGAGTGGAAATCAAGTTGACAAAGGAAAAATTACAAGCATAGGAAAGTATCTTTCCATGGAGGATGTTTTAGCATTTAAGGATATTAAAGGAACTTTAGACATTAGAGAAAATTTAAGGAAGAAGATTTTAGGGACATAGACCAAACAATGGACAAACCTCGAATGCAGAAACAAATATTGGTACTTGCGTGGTAACATGGACTAGGGTTTTGAAAATCAAGAAACTGTATTTTTGAATTTTCGGGTTTATACATAATTTAGTATCAGTATCAAATAAGGTAAAGAAAGATAGAATATGAACTTCTTTTCATTTCTTGCCTCAGAATAGCATCATCCTTCACCTAATATTATAACATTCATATTTTAAAAGGGACAGTAGAGGGAAAAGCATTACGTACTTGGCACCTAGTTGTTTCACTTTTATCTACAACAGCACCAAATACAAGCCAGGTATTCCTACATTGTCAATTTTGATACTTTCAGTAATTGTGGAAATAAAATATTTTGGGCTTGATGTGGATATCTTGTTTACTTTATTTGTTATCTGTATTGTTGGAACAGTGAAATTACCCACTCAGTATCTTTGAGTGTCTCTGAAACCTAGAGGTTTTTGAGGCAAATCAGTATATGAGTCTCCAACTTAGGAAAAAATTCCGCCACAGAGGACGTTTTTCTTTAGTGAGACTGTAAAATGTAGATTGCCAAAACATATGCTTTTTTCATTGTCAAGTTTTTGGCCTCAAACTCCCTTGGATCATTGTTGTTTGTATTCAAACAAGCAGCAAAAAGGTCTCTGTGAAAAGACTTGCATTGTTTACAAAGTTCTTGGAGTATTTTCCTTTATGGCCATGGTTTTTTGTTTACACTCTCATCTGACTATCACAAGTCATTAAAAGTGCTTTTTTTTTTAATACTTATAATAATCTACTTTTCAATCACACATTCAGGAAGTTTCTTCTGTAATGTTGCAATGGCTTCTTCTCTCTGTTTTATTCCTGGTGTGTTGACAAGGTGAAGTTTTGTCAGCTTTCTGAAAAATAAAATATAAATGTAAAGATAATAATGTAAAGACATTTGTTGGAAGTTCACGTCTAGTTGGTGGGTTATTGAGACGAATATTTTTCAGAGACTCTGTGAGATTTATCTCTGGTTAATAAATTGGTGATGGCCATGATGGTAATTTTACCATTTTGGGAACTGAAACAATGGTTCATCAGGGTGCAAAGTTGCGCTTCGGGAAACAAACTGTAGGTGGCATGTACTAGCCTGAGAGTCATTATAACTAACCCAAACAATAATTATTAATTATTATTTTGATGTGCAGGATCAATACACAATTAGTTACTTGCTTTATTGTTAAATCCATCATCATAACAAGTAAAATTATTTTGCTTTGTCAGATCAGCTAGAAAAACAGCTGTCAATACACACAAATTAAATTTTATTGGGAATTTAAACAATTTGTCTTGAATGAATGAAGGAATGAACTTTACTTATCGTTCTAAATTTCTCTTAAAAAGTTATTTGTTACAAAAAAATGTCACCTGCTCATCAGGCAAGTTAAGAATAGAATTTCCTACCTCCAATGCAAAACACACCAGCCCCAGGCTATCAGACACAACTTCCTTTGCATTCTGTTTACAGATAATGAGGAATCTTTAAAATGCTCTGAAAATAATTTATTTCTCCCCCCTCCGAAAAATAAGGGGGCAAATTTTTCATTATATTAAAGTAAAGGATGTGATGTCCCTATTTCTCTAAGGATAATGGACCATGTGAGATTTCTTATGGTCAGTGAATGAATTAGCCCAAAAGTACATGGGGTCAGTAAGTTTAAGAATGATGGACACTAACGTTAACTCATGCAGTGGTGTTAGATCTGATATCCCTCCACAGTTTCCAATATCCAGTTGTTCCAAGGTTTCTTTAACAGGTAGAAGTTTCTTCATGTCAGTTACATATCTGCAGCTGTTCATGTTGAGTTGTTTAAGATGCTGTAGTCCAACTAAAAGCAGAAAAAGGAGGTAAAAACCTGTGTTGATTGAACACTGTACCAGACATCCTCTGAGACGAAAAAGAAAAAGTTGGACTTTGGCTACTAAAAGTTAAGATATTTTATTATGTAGGGATACATAAAAGGAAACGTCAGAGGTTATCCCTATCGAGGACACTCCCCACATAAAATAGAAAATAAATTAATATACTTAATTTTACATCGTTACAGTAGTATATCTTCTGCGCTCGTTTCTCAGGCATTATTTGGCAGGGACACCAGTGGTAGTGTCACCAAATGTTGGCTGTTTTCTCGGGCGAACTTAATACAGGTTTCATTGCATTCTGCTACTTCACTCAACATAAACTCCAAATAACTTTGAAAGAATACCAAGATGCTGAAGGCCTCCTGTTGTTATATTGACTCCTTTAGCATTGATCCCTTCCAAAG